GCATCCCCTGACCCCCCCAGCTCAGCCCCCCACTCTGAGCCTCCTGGTCCTCTGAGCCCCCCCATCCCCTGCCCTCCATCCCCTGCCGCTCCCCATCCCCGGGGTGCATACGGGGGCTCGGGACCCCCCGGCCCCCAGCAGCACCAGATGTTGGGGAAGCCCCCGGGGCCCCTCGCTGTCCCCGCACAGCCCGGCCCTGCTCCCCTCCACCCAGAGCCCTCCTGCCGCCACCCCCGGACGGGTCCCGCACCCGAGGGGTCCCGGTGTCCGAGCAGCGGGAGAAAGTGCCGAGGGGGCACGCCTTTCTCTCCAAGTCCCCCGGGACCCCCGGCTGGCCCCCCCGTGCCCGGGCAGGTCTCAGGGGTGCCCCGTGTCACCCCCCAGCTCGGCGCCCTCTTCCCCGGCGGAGCCGCCGCGCTTCGCCCGCCTGAAGAACTGGGAGACGGGGAGCATCAGCTACGACACGCTCTGCGCCACGGCCCAGCGGGCACGGGCACCCCCTCAGGGGCACGGGCAAACCCCCTCAGAGGCACGGGCACACCCCCTCAGCGGGCACGGGCACCTCCAGAGCGGGCACAGGCACCCCCACAGCGGGCACAGGCACCCCCTCAGGGGCACGGGCAAACCCCCTCAGGGGCACGGGCAAACCCCCTCAGAGGGCACGGGCACCCCCTCAGCGGGCACGGGCACCCCCAGAGCGGGCACGGGCACCCCCTCAGGGGCACGGGCACATCCCCTCAGGGGCACGGCCACCCCGCGGCCCCGGGGCACCCACAGCCCAGCCCCAGCCCTGTGCGGGCACCCCGCGGCCCCATTCCACCCCACAGCCTGGACCTCCCCTGTGCCGAGGCACCCCACAGCCGCACCCCTGCCCAAAACACCTCCATATCCCTATCCCTGTCCTGGGACACCCCAAAACCCCACCCCTGCCGCAGAGCACCCCCAGCCCCGTCCCTGCCCAGAGCACTCCACATGCCCCCCTGCACGCCAGGGTACCCCCACAGCTCCTGACATGCCCTGGGGTGCCCCATATCCCCACCTCTCCCCCAGAGTACACCCAGATCCCCCATCCCTGCCCTGGCACATCCCACACCCCATCCGTGCCCCAGAGCACCCCGCTGTCGCTGCTTGGCCCCCCTACCCCCTACCTGCCCGTGTCTGGGGGGGCTGGGGGGTGGTCCCGGTGTCTGCGGGTGCTGAGGGTGCCCCTGCAGGGAGAACTCCCCGGCACACACGCAGCGGCTGCGGGAGGTGGCCGCAGACATCGCGGCCTCGGGCTCGTACCGGCTGCGGGAGCCCGAGCTGGCGTTCGGAGCCAAGCAGGCCTGGCGGAACGCCGCGCGCTGCGTCGGCCGCATCCAGTGGAACAAGCTGCAGGTGCGGCCCCCTCGGGACCCCCGCCCACCACAGCCCGCGGGGACACACCTCGGACTGCTGGGGACAGCGACCCAAAGGCAGCCCGAGCCACCCCACAGGAGCCCCACCCCACCTCAGGGGGACCAGCACCCCCATGGCCACCCCACACCGCGGGGACCCTCATCCCATGTCCCGTGTCCTGGGGCGACCCCCTCCCCACCGCACAGAGACCCTGCCTCGCACATGTAGCAGGGGGAGCCAGGGGACCCTGACTCACGGCACCCCGTCCCAAGGGACCCCGCTTCCACAGGGAACTCCCACCCCAACAAAGACCCCACGCCACCTCCGCCCCGTGAGGACCCCGTCCCAAAGGACCCCCGGCCCGCAGATTCCCCCGGGGGCTCCCATCCCACCTGCCCCGCACTCACGCTGTCCCCCGCAGGTGTTTGATGCCCGGGACTGCGCGGGGCTGGGGGAGATGTTCAGCCTCCTCTGCTCGCACATCCAGTTCGCCACCAACCGCGGCAACATCCGGTGAGAATCCCCCCGGCGTCCCCCGACCCCCGCGGCCGCAGGGTGTCCTGACGGCCCTCCCCGGCCCCCCCAGGTCGGCCATCACCATCTTCCCCCCGCGGGCTCCGGGGCGCGGCGATTTCCGCATCTGGAACCCGCAGCTGATCCGCTACGCGGGCTATCGGCAGCCCGACGGCTCCGTGCGGGGCGACCCTGCCAATGTGGACATCACCGAGGTGGGGGACCCCTGCACCCCCAGGCTCCCTCACCGCCTCCCCGCCCCTCCTCGCTTCCCTCTCCATCCCCACCTCAGTCTTCCCTCCACGCCGCCCTCCATCCCCACTCCGTCTCTCTTCCTTCCCCCTCCTCATACCACTCCATCCCCCTCCATCCCCCCCATGCCCTTCATCTCCCCCAATCCCCGCGCCCCCCAACACCTCCTGGAGCCCCCCTGACGCTGTCCCACTCAGCTCTGCATCCAACACGGCTGGACCCCCGGGGGGGGCCGCTTCGACGTGCTGCCGCTGCTGCTGCAGAGCCCCGACGAGTCCCCCGAGCTCTTCCCGCTGCCCCCGGAGCTGGTGCTCGAGGTGCCGCTGCACCACCCCACGTGAGTGCGGCTGTGCCCCCGCAATCCCTCTGGCCAAGGGACTCTCCCGTGACCGGGGCTGGAGAGCGCCGGGGTCACCCCTGGGGAGGGTCGGGAGAGGGGAAGGAGCGGGGGATGGAGGCTGGGGAACCGCACCGGGGACAGGGAGCAGCCGTGGGTCTGATCCCATCCCCGGCGGGTACTGGAATGCCGGCGCCTTCCCTGGCTGGGATACTGGGTTGCTGACCCCCTCCTGGGCTGGATCCTGGAATGCTGGGGTGCTGATCCCCCCAGACGGAGCCACGGGTGTGCTGACCCTCCCTGGGTGGGATGCGGGTGGGATGGGGGCTGGCTGCTGGCGCGGGGGGGTGCGGGGCCGGGGTGGGTGTGCGGGTGCGGCCACAGCCCCCGTGCCCCCAGGCTGGAGTGGTTCTCGGAGCTGGGGCTGCGCTGGCACGCCCTGCCGGCCGTGGCCAACCTGCTGCTGGAGATCGGGGGGCTCGAGTTCCCCGCGGCGCCGTTCAACGGCTGGTACATGGGCACCGAGATCGGCTCCCGCAACCTCTGCGACCGCCACCGCTACGACGTGCTGCCCGTGAGCCCCCGGCACCGCGGGGCCGCGCTGGGACCCCCGGGGCTGCACTGGGACCCCGGGACTGCACTGGGACCCCCGGGATCACACTGGGACCCCACAGGGACCCCCGGGGCTGCACAGGGACCCCGGGACTGCACTGGGACCCGAGAGACCGCCATGGGACTCCACTTGGGTCCCCCCAAGACCCCTCCTGGGAGCCCCTTGGTAGCCCCCAATATTTCCCTTGGGACCCATACTGGCCCACCCCGGGAACCCCCCAGCAACCCCCACTGGGACCACTCTGGGACCCCCTCCAGGCCCATCCAGAGACCCTCATCAGAACCCCCGAGACCCCTGCCAGGACCATGCTTGGATCATTCCCGGAACCTCCCCCAGAATTCCCCCCAGGAGCCCTCTGGCACCCCAAACAGGACACCACAAGGGCCCCATCTGGGACCCCTCGGGGACCCCCGGCCGACCCTTCCCTGCTGCCCCCCGCAGGAGGTGGCCCAGCGCATGGGGCTGGACACGGGCAGCAGCTCGTCCCTCTGGAAGGACCGGGCGGCTGTGGAGGTGAACGTGGCCGTGCTGCACAGCTTCCAGGTGGGACCCCTGTGGGCCCCCAGCGCCGGGACCCCCACACTGCTGGGGTCCCCCTTGTGGGAGCTCCCCACGGCTGGGACCCCCCTACCGGGACACTCTCAGTGCTGGAGCCCCACAGTGATGGGCCTCGGGCACCCCCACATCCCTGCGTCCCCCCTCCCCACGTTGCCATGCCCCTGTCCCCGCAGGTGGCCCAGGTGACCATCGTGGACCACCACGCGGCCACCGAGTCCTTCATGAAGCACCTGGCGGCCGAGGGGCGGGCGCGGGGCGGCTGTCCCGCGGACTGGGCCTGGATCGTGCCCCCGCTCTCGGGCAGTCTCACACCGGTGTTCCACCAGGAGATGGTCAACTACCACCTGAGCCCCACCTTCCGCTACCAGGTGGGACCCCTGCCCCACAGATCCTGCCCCACAGCCCCTGCTGCTGCCAGGCGTGGGCTTGGACCCACAGACCCTCCGTGCCCCATGGCTCCCCAGCCCCTCTGCCCCCTGCCAGGCTGGAGGTGCAGCCCCAGGGCACTGAGACCCTCGGTCAGCTGGCGCTGAGCCCCCTGGACCCCCCAGGACTTTCTGGGACTGCCCTGGGCACTGCTGATCCCTGCGGGACCCCCAACCCTCTGCATCACCCTGCCCTGGCATCACCCCACAGCAGCCCCTGAGCATCCCCTGGGATGCTCCAGCACCCAGCTGGGGCTCTCCCCACACCCGTGGGGGCCTTCCAGCCCCCACCAGCCCCCCAGGGCTCCCCATGACCCCCAGTTCACATGCTGGTACCAGGTGGGTCTGGCCCCACAGACCCCCGACCCTTCTTCCTCACAGCCAAACCCCTGCTCCCCCGTCCCACACACTCCCAACCCTTTCACCTCACAACTGCCCCCATGGCCCCCTGCCCCACAACCACCCCCTCCTGCCCCACAGCCCGACGCCTGGAAGGTTTACGTGTCCAAAGGCACCACTGTCACCCGGAGGAAGACTTTCAAGGAAGTGGCCAAGTAGGTGAACCCCCCGACCCTGGGGATCCCGTGGCAGTTCTGGGGTCTCTGGGAATGCCGTGCTGACCCCATGGTGCCCTGGGGACCCCACAGCGCTGTTAAGATCTCAGCCAAGCTCATGGGACACGTGATGGCACGGCGGGTCAAGGCCACCATCCTCTACGGCACGGAGACCGGGAAATCACGGACCTACGCCTGGAACCTGTGCCAGCTCTTCCGCCGCGCCTTCGACCCCAAGGTCTGCAGGAGGAAGGGGCAGAATTCCCCTCGCCCACCTCCCCCAAAGGCCCTGTGGCTGGATTTGGGTGAGGGGAGGTTCAGGTCTGTGGGGGGATCCTAATCCTGGGATTCCATGAAGGTGCTGTGCATGGATGAGTATGACGTGGTGGCCCTGGAGCATGAGACCCTGGTCTTGGTGGTCACCAGCACATTTGGGAATGGGGACCCTCCAGAATGTGCTGAGGTAGGGATGGGATGGGATGGGATGGGATGGGATGGGATGGGATGGGATGGGGATAAGGATGAGGATGGGGATGGGATGGGATGGGACTGAGACTGGAGATGGAATAGAGCTGGGGATGGAGATGGGATGGGGATGGGGTGGGGATAGGGTGTGCGGGTGACACTCTGCCCCCACAGAGCTTCTCCAAGGCCCTGATGGAGATGACATCGCCCTACACTGGCACCTCCCAGGCGGAGCCGCCCATGTGAGCACCCCGGGGGTCCTGGGGTCCCTGCTGGGCCCGAGGCAGGATCCCCCCTGACCCCCCTCGCCCTCCTAAACCCCCAGGAGCTACAAGCTGCGGTTCAACAGCGTCTCCCAGTCCGACCAGCTCGTGTCCTCCTGGAAGAAGAAGCGGCGGCAGCTGAGCAACACAGACAGTGCGGGAACCTTGGGAGCCCTGCGGTACCGAGGCCACGGGATGGGCACGGGATGGGCACGGGATGGGCACGGGATGGGCATGGGATGGGCACGGGATGGGCACGGGATGGGCACGGGATGGGCATGGGATGGGCATGGGATGGGCATGGGATGGGCACGGGATGGTCACGGGATGGGCATGGACACAGGGATGGGCACGGACACAGGGATGGGCACGGACACAGGGATGGGCACGGCCATGGGGATGGGCACAGGATGCTCGGCCTGGGCACGTCGGGAGTGCTGCAGTACCCGGGCCACAGGGATGGGCACAGCCAGGGAACAGGGATGGGGACGGGCTCCTTGCCTGGGCACGCTGCCCTGCTGGGGCTGGGCGTGCCCCGCACAGGGCTCTCACCGCACCGGCAGCTCCGGCACTGGGCTCTCACCGCACCGGCAGCTCCAGCCCCGTCTGCCCTGCGGATGTGGGTGGGGACAGGAGCTGCCCCGAGGGGCCCCCGTGACCCCCCCATGTAATGGCCTGATAATGGCCAGGACCCTCTGACTTTGGGGATCCCCCCAGTGCACCCCCGCCCAGGCCGGTGGTGTTCGGGTTGGGGTCCCGGGCGTACCCCCACACCCCTGGAGACCCCAACCCCCCACTCCCGCCCAGGTTCGCGGTGTTCGGGCTGGGGTCCCGGGCGTACCCCCACTTCTGCGCCTTCGCGCGGGCCGTGGACACGCGGCTGGAGGAGCTGGGCGGGGAGCGGGTGCTGCCCCTGGGCGAGGGCGACGAGCTGTGCGCCCAGGAGGAGTCGTTCCGCACCTGGGCACGCCAGGTGTTCCAGGTACGGGGGCTGGGGGCCCTCAGGAGCCGCTCTGCACACGGGCACCCCTGCTCCCCCAGGTACCGGGGCAGGGGGGCACCCACAGGCCCCCCCGCTTGGCACCCACCGCCCCCCCCCCGTACCCCCAGGCTGCCTGCGAGACATTCTGCGTGGGGGACGGGGCGGGGGGCGCCGAGGAGCTGTTCGCCCCGCCGCAGGGCTGGAAGCGCCAGAGGCACCGGCTGGTGCCGCAGCCCCAGGCCACCGAGACTCTGGCCGGTACCGACTCCTCCGGGACCCCCATACCCTGCGGGACCCCCGACTCCCCGTGTCACCCCCGCCTCTCACCGACCCCTACCCCGTGGCCTCCCCGGGACACCCCACAGCACCCTCCGAGCACCCTGTGGATCCCCTCACACCCCACAGCTCTGTGGGGTCAGCCCCCAGCCCCCCAGGGACTCCTCCAGCCCCCTCATGACCTCCCCAAGACCCTTTGGTTCCCCCCAGTCTTCTCCTCACCCCACGACTCCCAGCCCCCCAGCCCCTCCGTGTCCCCCCAAACCCCTGTTCCTCCCCTTCCCCTCCGTGTCCCCCCAAACCCCTGTTTCCTCCCCTTCCCCTCCGTGTCCCCTCATCGCCATCCAGTCCGTCCAGTCCCGCTATGTGCCCCAGCCCTACATGTACCCCTGTGTCCCCTCGTGTCCCACGGTGTCCCCAGCCCCCCGTGCCCTCCTCACCACCCGTGTCCCCCAGCCCTCCGTACCTTCCCGCGCGTCCCATGCCC